CATAAAAGAAAGGCTTACGTGAAAGCAGATGAGAGGTGAAGGCATTGAAGAAACCAGAAGCTAATAAATGGAGAAGAGCCGGGAAGTAGACAGCTGTGTTCAGGGAGCAGAGAAATTCAATAAGCGAAGCAGGAGACATACTCAAAATAAAACACCAAAATATCTTCCTGAAGTGAAAAAACCCACAAAACAAAAGAGGAAACTGGACTCCAGGAAGATGGGACAGGAGACAAGAGACGCTGAGATGACACATATCCTGACTAAGTGAATGTGTTTGGAGACTGAAGAAGGAATTCTTCAGGCATTCAGGCAAAAGTCAGTCATTTTCAGGAGAGAAAAAGTAATTGGTCTTAACATTCCCCATGATACCATTAAATGCCTGAAGAATGTCTATAGAGTTATGAGGAAAGAAATTGTGTCCCAAGAATTTTTTTTTCTATCCAGCAACCATGCAAAATTTACTTATTTCTTTTCATTTATTTATTTTTTTGAGTTTTTTTTTTAACAATTTATTTATTTATTTTTTGCTGGGGCTGGGTTTGAACCTGCCACCTCTGGCATATGGGGCCGGCACCCCACCCTTTTGAGGCACAGGCACTGCCCAAGTTTTTTTATTTTTTCAAAATACTATGAAGGTACAATTTTTAGGTTACATTGAATTGTCAGTTTTTACTATAAAGCACTATCAAAATAACAAACAGACATCCCATTCTCAAATACTTATGGTTCTTCCTCTTGAATTGTTATTTTTTTTTTTTTTTGGCAACAGGGTCTTGCTCTGTTGCCCAGGGTTAGAGTGTCATGGAAGAATCATAGCTCATCATAACTGCAAATTCCCAAGCTTGAGCAATCCTCCCATGTCAGCTCCTAGGTAGCTGGGATGATAGGTTCACATCACTATGGCCAGCTAATAGTTTTTAAGTTTTTGCAGAGATGGGATCTTGCTGTGTTGTCCAGGCTAAAAAAAAACTTCCAACTAAGAATTCAGGTACAGAAAGTTATTGGAAGAGGTCTGCTAATGAATACATTAAGTCCACTTAAAGCCAGAGCTACAAGCATAGGAACTGTAGTTACAGAACAGAACAAATATAGACATTGCAAACCCTGACAAGGTCAAAATGATAGAGAGCTAACAAAAATCAGGAAGCAGAAAGTGTAACTGTTTTGATTTCTCTTTCTTAGTGCAATTTTCCAATCAATCTAGTCTAAATTAAAGTATGTAGTAAAAAATACATAATAATTCTAATTTTTTTTTTTTGCAAAAATCACTTGGTTAACTTTAGAGGGATCGCTTAGGAACTAATGTGTTATAGTAAAGACATTCAAGTTGAGCAATTTTCTTTGCTATACTTTAGATTCTCTTTTATAAATTTAAGAAAGATAATTTTTAGTTCTTTAATCAGAAATAGAATGTACAGCACATCTCATGTTGCATTAAACTCTTCCCAACTAGACAACTATTCTCCTATCTGCATCTGTGTGTATCCAAAGATAGGGGCCTGTAATGATATTCAACTTAGAGGCCTGTAATGATATTCTACTAATGTTAATAATGGTTAGTTCTGGGAGGCAGGACCTGGAATGACTTTTAAAAATAATTTAAATATAATTAAATTATAATAATTTAAATAAATAGAATTTGTTTCATATTGCTTATGCATCTTATAGCCAAGTATCACATAAATTAAAAAGTCATTTAGCTAGGAGATGTGGTGGGCGCCTGTAGTTCCAGCTGCTTGGGAGGCTAAGGCAAGAGAATGGCTTGAACCCAAGAGTTGGAGATTGCTGTGTGAGCTGTGACACGGCACTCTACTGAGGGCATGGTGAGACTCTGTCTCAAAATAAAATAAAATAAAAAGTTATTTTTAAATTATAAAGCCCAAAACAAATTTTCACTGAACCGTTAAACAAAATGTAAAGCATGTGATAACTACATAAAAATTTACCAAAAATAAATAAATAAATAAAAATCACACACAGTGCACCTTTAGTTAATAGTTTCTGGTCTTGGGATTGAAAGAACTTCATAAAGACAGTATCAAATATTTAATAAGTAGCCCCTTATATTCTCCTAGTAATTTTGTGGTTGTAATAATTGCATTTAAATATTTAATTGATCAGAATTACTTTGGGTTTTGGTATGAAGGAAGAATTAAATCTTTTTTGCAATGTTTGGTTAGTTGTCCTAAGTCTAAGCCCTGGTGCTTTGAAATGCCACCTTTACAAATCCAGAATTAGTTCTTATGCAGAATTAAATACTCTCAGGTATATACTTTCTTTCATCCCATTCTTTCAGAGACCTTAACATGCTCAGAAACTCCTTGATTACAGAGTAAACTGCCCACTCAACCTTCTGCTCAAATGTTATCTGTCTTGGGGAGACCCACTGGTGTCCCCCTGTCTCTTGTCTATATTTCCACAGCAGCACCCAGCTCTGTAATCACAGATTCTCCTTTCTGTGAATCTTAAATTCATCTTCTTATCCCTCCCATTTGGACAATGTGTCTGGCACACGCAATAGGCTCTCAAAAGAGCCTCTTCAAGTGACAAGTCTTTCCCCAACCCACTCCTTTTCCTACCAACATGAGCAACGAACATCTAAATCGTAAAAGTCAGGGGGAAAAATGCCCTAACACTTTTGTGTTTTATTTTTTTTTAAACATTAACTAGGATTATATTTCATTTTACCATCTCCATTTTGGAGCCTTGTAAGCTTCTAATTTTACATTTCTCACCAATCAATACTTGCCTTTCTGTTTTATTCCTATTGTTAATGACTTCAAATTCTCATGACATGGCACTAAAGAAACAATTGCGTTTTCTTTTATTAGCTTGATTGTGGTAATAAAATACTCAAGAGAATCTTGCTTTTTCAGGCCACCTGAATCCTACTCTGAAGACATGGTTCTTCACTGAAGAGACATTTGTATAGTGTAAGGATCACCTTACCCAGCTGGCATGCCCACTGGCTGGCCTATGAACAGAATCAAAGGCCAGGACCCTTAATCTGCCAATCTGTAGGCAGCTTCCTAGCCAAAGGAACTTGCTCTGACCTTGTCCTGGCTACAGGCATATCAGCTGCTGAGAGTAATGATGTGACTTAACACCCAGCAACAACTACAGGTTCATTGTTCTCATGATGTAATGTTTAATCAGCCAATGGCACCCTGCCATTCCGAGGAGAAGATATATAGACAGAGAACACAGAAACAGCAGAGGTAGGCTGAAAAAAGCCCAAACCACATAAGCCCTAAGTTCAACATTGGGCCTGGGGGGCCCCCAGCAGTTAAGTGATTGGCCTTCTAGAGCTGGGAACAGATTAACAGTTTAGCCCATCCAGATTGGACTATATCATGGCCAAAGGCACAATCAAGCTAATAATAGAAAATGTTTAAGGATTAGAGAACATGAAAACAGGTGGGGAAATGGGAGCTGCTGTACCCAAGGGACAGGACAAGGGACAAGTGACAGCTGTCTTCACCTACTTGAAAGCTGGTCATGTTTAAGAGGAAATGGATTTGTTCAGTCATTTCTCCAGAGCCCAGAACTAGGCCCACTCAGTAGAGATGACAGGGAGGCAGACTCCAGGTCCAAACAACAAAGCACTTTTTATCTAGAATTGGTCAACCAAGAGGCAGCCTGCTTTGTAAAGTAGGAATCTACCTCCTTTGCCTAGAGAGAACCTACATCAGGGCTGTCACACAGAGAGTCTGAGTAAGGGAAGTTTAGACCAGAAAATCCAAGGATTTTCCTAAGACTATTTGCTTCTGATCTTAATACACACACACACACACACACACACACACACACAAATGAGTTACCCTTTAAGTTAAAAAAAAAAAGCATATTCAAGAACAAGAATTTCAAGAAGTATCAATCACACCCTTATTCTGATCACTATTGTCTTTTTTTTTTTTTTTTTTTTTAAAGACAGAGTCTCACATTATCACCCTCGGTAGAGTGCCATGGCATCACAGTTCACAGCAACCTCCAGCTCCTGGGCTTAGGCAATTCTCTTGCCTTAGCCTCCCAAGTAGCTGAGACTATAGGCACCCACCACAACACCCAGCTATTTTTTTGTTGCAGTTTGGCTGGGGCTGGGTTTGAACCTGCCACCCTTGATATATGGGACCGGCGCCCTACTCACTGGGCCATAGGCACCGCCCACTACTATTGTCTTTTAATAATGTGAATTTAATAGGACTAAATCAGCTTGACCTCTCAAGATTAACGATTAGATAATAAAATTTTCTATCTTTAAAATAAGCTGGCTAAATAAGTCAGCTTGTTACCCTCAGCCAATATGTGTATGTTAGCCATCGCAGCTTATAAGATCCAATATGGTACAATAAAAGGCTTAAAGACACATATAGAAAACTATATTAGCGTATCTGAAAATAAAACCCCACTTAGTGTTATTGTGGGGTAGCTACAAAATGAGTGCTTGAAACTTGCTTTGCATAATCCTAAATTTAAGCTCGGATGTAATGCAGGTCAGAATGAAATAGAGATTCTGAGTCAATCCATTCCAACTACGAATGAAACAGCCCAGAACTGAGCAAGAGCATCCTCTAGCATGAGTCCCTTGTCAGTGTGAGCTCTGTCGTCAGCAAGCTGCTCTGGGCTTCTCAAGACTTAGCACAACATCGCTTGGTCACTTGCTTGCCTTCAAGAGCCTCAGTTCCTGCTGTCCCCAAGCCTGAGCCCAAGTGCACATCAAAAGGGAACACAAAGGCATTAGCTCATCTTGTTGGGGCCTGATGCAAACTCAGTCCTTCCTCCTTTTCACTCTTGAAGACAAATACGCTTATTGGGGAGTTTCCTAATCACTGTAGGGAAAGGCAAATACAAATGATAAACTTTAGATGAAGAAAACAGGGTTGAACCAGAAAAAGGGGCCTTTGTACTTGGCAGGGGAAATGAAGGAGATGAGGGGAGGTGATATCAGAGTTCTCACGTGTACTGCACGGAGGCAGGCAAACACACGAGCACGCACAAACCTGAAATTCTGCATGAACTGCCGGAACTTGTCCACCCTTTTTGCTAGCGGCACGATCACGTTGATAAGAGTGTTGGCCATGTCGAGTCTTTCTTTTTTCACTTTCATGATGGGGCCAAACGGTCGGAACAAGACAAGTCGTTTGAATTCGTGTTTGTGGTCTCCTTTGAAGGTGAGCTCATACAAAGTGCCCTTGTCCCTTTCTGTTCGGTAGATCCCTGTCGGGAGAAGAACAAGGGAAGACAGTTGTCAAAATGAACCTTGGCCCAAGGAGTCTTTTCTAACCAAGCTCTAGCACGAAACGCCTTTGAAAAAGTTAAGATTGAAATCTCTCCATCTAACAGTTACTAGAAAACCCCAAATGCTCCCAATTAAAACTACCCAGAGAAATAAAAGTATCAATTTAAAGATCACAGCTATGAAGACTTCATAAAAAGCATGGGGAAAAGCTTGTCATGTTGGATTCAAAGCTGTATTTATAGTACATGGAGGCATTTAAAAAAATAAAAAAAGCTGTCAGGAAACATGCCAAAATAAGGCTGACTGTGATGTGGAGTGGGGCGATGTGTTTTTTTCTTTGGTGCTATTATCCAAATTTTCTGCAAGATGATTAGAAGAGTATCAACATCATTATATTTAATTTTAAAAGTATGTGTTAAAATTATCTCTTAGAAATTATGATTAGGATTAATTACGGCCATTTAGGGTGGACTGCCCGGATGTATTTTGGGAAACGTGGGAGTAGCTCAGGGCTGGTCACGTGAGTTGTGGAGCCCTCTGGAAGCTTCTAGAAATGTTAAAACAGACAACACGTAAAGCATGGAGTACTTTGATGAGGGCACATATCATACTTAGCTTCCTATCTTCTTTCCCTGTCTTTAAGCAGTGTGGCTCAGAGCTTCAGAGCACACACTCTCAAGCTAGACTGCCCGGGCTCAAATCCTGGCCCCCCAGGTTTTCTTTGGGACATTACTCAACTTTCTGCATCTTTTCTTCCCCACAGGTCCTCCGAGGAATATACACTCTTGCAAAGAGGTTAGGACAGTACATGACACTTAGCAAACCTTCAGTGAATGTTCACTGTCACCCAAACCCTCCTTCTGAGGAGGAACATAAGTAGGAGGGGCTCGGTGCCCATAGCACAGGGGTTATGGCACTGGCCACATACACCAAGGGTGGTGGGTTCAAACCCAGCTTGGGCCAGCTAAACAACGACAACTGCAACAAAAAAATAGCCAGGCGTTGTGGCAGGCGCCTGTAGTCCCAGCTACTTGGAAGGCTGAGGCAAGAGACTTGCTTGAGCCCAAGAGTTTGAGGTCATTGTGAGCTGTGATACCACAGCACTCTACCCAGGATGACATAATGAGACTGTCTCAAAAAAGATGCTGGAGAGATGTCTGCCTATGTGTCCTTCAAATTGTGCTCCACCCTGCCCTTGGTACTAAAACCCCACATAGCATCCTTCTCAGGCACAAGATTTGAACTCAGCATCTCGGCTGCCCTCTCAGCACAAGACCCTGGAGGGCCTAGAGAACAGGATTTCCCTAATAAGGAACCAACAGCCTGGTGCCTATGGTCCCTTTCCCTCCCAATATCACTGTATTATGAGTGTTTTCTCTACAGTCAGGAGCAAAAATGCAACAATGGAAACATTCAGTGGTCACTAGAAAAGCTCTTCTCTTTGACTTATTTAGTAGGCCCCCAACCCACAATTTTGCTTTTTGACACAGAGAGAGAGGTGAGAGACATTCCTGTGACTTATTCCAGTGTACTGTTGTAACTGCTCTATTTTATTATCAGTTACTATTGTTAATCTCTTACCATGCCCTATTTATAAATCAAACATTATCATAGGTACGTTTATGTAAGAAAGAGCCCGGTATTTAATACATGTAGGATTCGGTGTTATCTATGGTCTCAGGCATCCGCTAGAAGTCTTGGAACGTACACCCTGGGGATAAGGGCATGTTTTCTATTTCAAGTATCCTACTTCCTCTTAATCCCTCCACTAGCTAAGAATGTACCTCCCAGTCTCTGAGTAGCTCCAAAAATCTCCAGGGGAAAGTGTCCACCTACAGTCGGTTACAGTGTCCCCAGATCTCTCACAAACCGCATCTCCTTTCTTCCCCACGCTCCCTCTTCTTGTCTTTTGTGGGAACTACACATCTTCACAAGCATTGCCAAGTTCTCGTCTCTGTTCTTCCCATTATAGAAGCTTTTCATCTCACAGCCCCTGTTTACACCCTCTTTGATCCTGTTCAAGGTTCGGAGCTCCTGGAGTTACCCCAAAGAAGAAAGAGCCTGACGCTGAGAATTTTCCAGGTCATCTCGCATCTCCCAGCTGTTCTGGGCCTGCTAGAACATCCAACAAGCCCCTGGCAGTGACGACGGGTGGTAGAAGGACCCTGGCACAGAGTTACAAGGACTAAGTTCTCTTCAGAAGGCGTCACTGATCCCTTAGGTAACAGGAAATACTACTTACCTGCCCTCAAAGTCAGAGAGGCTGAGAGAGTTTTGCTCAACTCACATTGGAAAAGAATCCAGTCCCTGCAGGGACCAGACATGGAAGAAAGACGGCTCATTTCCCAGGGAGCCCAAAGGACTTCTTTGAAACATTAAGTGGTTCCCTTCAAAGTCTGTTACTTCTTTCAAGCAAGTTAATTCTTTCCACCATGGAAACACACTGTTTCGCCACCTCTGATGTTGCCGGAGTAACGAGGTGAACCACCAACTCCCAGGTCCAGACGTGGTTGAGCTGAGTCAGAAAGGACCCACGTTTGGTCACAGAGGGCGTTATCAGCACACCTGAAACAGGCCTGCTGGTGTGGGTGCCCACGCCTCGTCGCATTTCTGTACCAGCAGCATAACTTCTCTACACAGCAATGAACATGGAAATGACAGCTGACGGTTTAACGTGCACATGAAAATGTACGTGGGACGGAGGGGTGGTTTTTACAACTGAGTCATTTTCCTTCTCAGAGACAGGATACGAGTCATTAATGTTTTAAAATCTAAATCCACAGAGTTGAGAATATGGGGTACAATCTACCTAAACCTGTCTCGAGAGAGACATGGATTTATAAGGAACACAGAGGATGCGATACTTTCTACTCATAAAGATTCCATGACTCTATGACCGCCCTGGAGTGTCTGCACATCAGCCCAGTGTGACAGAGACCCCCAGGCACGGCCAGCAGCTCGGGTGCCCATGAGAAAGGTCACAGCACTCAGACTCACTTGGCTCACTACAGTCCAAGCTGCTTTCTCATCGTCTCCCACACGCTCTGCTTTAAAACAGTCCCTACATTATAGCATATCTCCCCATATTCTAATTATTTTAATTATGTCTTATGAATCTGATTTTAGATCCCTTACTTTCATCTATTTAAAAATGTTATTTAAAATTCTCTTGCAACCTGCATCCACCAAACCCCACAGCCAGCCATTCACCCGCCACGCCCACACTCCCACCCCAGCACAGAGAAAGCTCTCTCTGTCCACTTCTGACATAAAGACACCACCCCAAAAGAATCCTTTTGGGTCCTGGAACTCTTTAATGGTGGAAGCACAAAGAAGGTGAGAGAAAGGGGGGTGGAGGCAAGCGGAGGCAGGAATGGTTTTTCAGCCAATGAACTGGAACATGCAAATAGAAGATGCAAATCGAGGCAGCCACAGTGACATGCCCCTTTTGATATTATACAGAGTAGCATCATTTTCGATACTATACAAGTGAAAGGCCAATATCAGAACTTAAGAACTGGCTTAGATCTTTTTCCTTCCTCCCATCCAGAGGAGCTAAGGTTACTTCAAGTTTGGCATGATGATTCTCTATGCCAATGCCCCAATGCCCCAATGCTCATCTTACTCTACTCCACCAATCAGGCTTCAGGGCCACCAACTTGGCAGAATCATCTGCCTGTAGCTCCAGACATAGCTCTGTGGTGTATTCCTGCAAATGTCTGTTCCTTCTGGAGGTCAGGAGCTAACCAGACAACACAGGCTGGTCTCTGTGCCCTATCTTCAACCTGACCTTGGAAATCATGAGACGGCAGAGCAAGGAGAATACTGCTCCCAACTCCCACTTCCTTACCATCATCAACACACATATACACAGGCTGTGGTCAGTGCTGCACTGCTGAGCCTGTGCAGAGCTTCTCAAACCTGTCTGCAAATCATCTCCATTCTCTGTCTTTACACTCATGCTTGTCTTTTCTTTTCTTTTTTTTATTTTGAGACAGAGCCTCTTTTTGTCACCCTCGGTAGAGTGCCATGGTGTCACAGCTCACAACAACCTCTAACTCTTGGGCTTAAGCAATTCTCTTGCCCGAGCCTCCCAAGTAGCTGGGACTACACAATAGCACAATGCCGGGCTATTTTTTTTTTTTTTTAACTGCAGTTGTCATTGTTGTTTAGCAGGCCTGGGCTGGGTTGGAACCATGGGTGCCGCCATGCCTGCCTTTTCTACCTTACTACATGGGCCTGGGTCTCCCAGCTGGACACCTGCCATCACCTGCCAGTCCTCATTGCAACTCCAGGTTCCAACCCATCCCACACACGCACTCCTGCCCTTCAACTGTCCACGATAACCCTCGAATCCTACTTTCCCACTGGCTTAAAGTAACCACACTGAAAAATAGTTTGGCACTTCCTCAAAACGTTAGGCATAGAATTGCCTACCATATGACCCACCAATTCCACTGTATGTTTCTGGCTATTTCTCAAAAGAATTAAAAACAAGGGCCCAGACAGATACTGGCACACTCATGCATGATACAGCATCATTCAATACAGCCAGACAGAAACTGCCCCTGTCTCCACCAAGAGATGAGTGGATAAACAAATGCAGTCTGTACATGAATGGAACATCACCCTACCTTACAAAGGAAATGAATCCTGGTATCCACGTGCTACTACATGGATAAATCTTGGGGACATTATACCAAGTGAAATGAGCCAGTCACAAAAAGACAAATATTGTGTAATTCCACTCATGTGAGGCGTCCATAGCAGACAAGGTCACAGAGGAAGAGGAGGATAGAGGGTAATGGGCAGGGGGAGGGTGAATGAGGCATTAGTGTTTAATGATGCAGAGTTTCTATTTGAGAGGATGGAACGTTCTGGGATGGTGGTGGTGGCACAACAGTTGAAATGTGCTCAGTGCTGCTGAACTGTGCACTGGCGCTGATTCCGATGGCAAATTTTATGTTGCTTGTATTTT